TACTCTCTCTCTCTCTCTCTCTCTCTCTCTCTCTCTCACACACACACACACACAGTGAAAGATTAGATAATATGATTCTCTCTCTGTTGCCTACACCTTACACAATGAGTGTGAACCAGAGCAAGTGTGAAAACCATATGGGCAAAAGACAAGGAAAACCAAAAAAAGAAGTGCCAAGCCTAAACATTGAAATACACGATATTCTATACATCAGAATTTATGATATTAAGAATATTTTGGTCACTAATTTTTAAACAGTAAAGCTGGGGTCATGATTTTTACATTTCAAGTGTCTCCCAATATTTTTGTTTTCTCTCTTTCATCTTTGGTATTATACAGATTCGTTTTTCAATAATTGCATTATAAATGTAATTAAACATTCATATATTCATTCAAGCATGTTTATGTCAGATACATCTTCATATATTATCACATGCTCATGTGCACATATGTGCCTCAGAGCATGCTCATGTGCATGCCTTAGTGCTTGCATGTGCCTGTGAGAGACTACATGTGTGTTGTGGGTATTGTTTATTGGTGGAGTTGAATTTCCGAGTTCCAACCAAATTTTATTCTTGGAAAACAAAAGAAAGAAAAAGGAAAAAAGGCGACAAATGAAACATGCACTCATAGAAAGATATTCTTGTAAGCACAGTTTCTGACTTATCCAGAGGAAATAAGTATACATTTTTAACCTGAAGCCTAGAAGTTGAATAAAGAGCACCAAACTACTACGCTACGAGGGCAACTCCCTCACAGAGAAGTACTCTCATGAAGGATTATGTTGCATTTTCAAGTTGACTATGGTGGTTTTAGTCTTTAATAGAAAAAACCTGGATTTCCTTCGGCTAGAAAAGAAGGAAATAACACACATCAGTTCAAATAAAGGGAAAGTATACCATGACCCAATGGAATAGGGAAAACAAAGTCCGCTGGGTCATAGTTGTCCCTTGAATTGGACTGTGATGGAAAAGAGAATGAGACCTCGCACTGCGGTCAAATCTCCTTCAGGCAGTCCCAATAACTATCACTATCCATTACTTCATTGGATGGAGATCACCTAATGAACTATGGTTTTATCATAGTATATCAGAAAATAGAAGACTTCCCTGGCATACAAAAGTGCATCGAGAGGTATTCAGCAGATCTTTTACCTGCTCCAGTGTTAGAAACATTATCACATTCCACGTCCCAAGTCGCGCAAAGTTGGGAATAAATCCCTTGTAGAAAGCAAAAATTCCCTGAAAGAATCGATAATTAGTTTTAATCTTATCGACGTTCATACAGCCAAAAAAAGAAGAACTATTTTCCAAGTCGTTAATGTAAGTTAACAGAAATAATTACCACGATTTGCCTTTTTTTGAGTAATTATTAATACAATTCACCTCCATATATAGTGAAAGTGAAGCACATATCTAAATTGTAGAGAAACATTACAAATTTCCAGATCATCATCTTTACTTTCCATCCAATATAGCAGCAGCAGTATAATCATTCATTTAAAAGAATGCACAAGGAGATTGATTTGAGAATCATCACACTTTCTTTTTATGCATTTTTTTTATAATTTTGAATATCTGGATGCAAGTGGAATAGTAAGTGTGACTTTCAACTGTTAGTTTTCCCTTATTCTTTTGAGTAATTCTTTTAAGGGTTTCTGGATTTTGAGAAGCCTCAAGTGGAAAACCTATCTCCATTCCTATTCACATTTCTGTCGAAGGCATTCAACATCATGATGGACTCATGAGCCAGTTACACGAAGAACCAATTGAGGTTTTTAAGACAATATTACCTTTCCTTACAAATAGCCCCATTAAGCACCTTTTCTTAAGTAATTTACTCTATTAATCACTTTATGCCATCTGATTTGAACATGAATCCACAACAAATGGACATTGAAAGAAATTACTAAATGGGTGGATTATTGTGAGAGAAGTGCTGTAGCACTAGGGTATTGAATTTAGATCTCAAACAATATTGGACAGTTGGACTTCTTAATCAGTCTCTGATGCTGAAGCTGGACCAAACAAAACAAATCATTGACCAAACTCGTTACTATGAGAAACAGATCACCCAGATGATATTTCTTATTCCTGCTTTAGATTGACTTAAAATAGGTAAAAATAACTAATCATGATCAAATGCTTTAAGTATTTATATGCCTTTGTTACAACTGTAGTTTTTTACTAATCATGCTCAAATGCTTTAAGTATTTATATGCCGTTGTTACAACTGTAGTTCTTTACTAATCATGCTCAAATGCTTTAAGTATTTATATGCCGTTGTTACAACTGTAGTATTTTATTCATGAGAATATTCATTTGCTTCTTTTGGGTTTAAGAAAATTCATTTATTTAAAGTTTTAAACCATGAGTAACATCATGCAAGAAGAGAAAATAATTCAAAGATGTAAAAACTTGTAAGAGAAAAACCATTACTTTGAAATTGAATATTCTAGAGAAAGATACAAAAGGAAAGGACATACATCATTTCTCAATGTCTTAATGAAACAATCCAATGTGCTCTTGTAAGTTGAGTCTCCCATCATTCTTGACTTAACCTGCAATTGACCATTTAAATCATTGTTAAACTTCTTGTAATCTTGTTGATGGCTGAATATCTCAAAATTGTTAAAAAGGCCCAACATGATAGTTTTAGTAGGTAGAAACTGATGCTTGCATATTCAGATGGAAATACCTCACACTCCAACAAATATTTAAGCAGAAACGAAAATAAAACATGCATAGTGCTATTTCAAAGTAAAAATAAGAAAGGAAGAAAATTTTGAACTATAACTAATGTTTTTTATGGTTAATTTGAAATACAATAAATATTGATCAAATAAAAGTTATAAAAATTAAAATATAATACCTGGAATGTTTTTAAAAAAAATTACTAAAAAAATGACATATAGTTAGTGCAGATCAAAGAAATGTCTAGAAACCAAAATGAGGCCAACATTCATATGAATTTTTTGTAACTTCAGCTTGCTGTACACTTGCTCATTCTATCTTTAATAAAAAGCTTCATTACATTGTCATGTATGGGTGGGGAATGGAAGGGCATAAATTAGAAGTGTGAATGATTCAGTTGAACCGATTGCATGGGATAGAGACCAAGGGAGAAACTAAAGCAGAAGATACAATCTCAGAGAACAAATACGGTCCAAAAGATTTTTGGTTTTTCTATTTTTGATAGATTATAGAGAGAGAGAGAGAGAGAGAGAGAGAGAGAGAGAAGAGAGAGAGAGAGAGAGAGAGAGAGAGAGAGAGAGACGAGACGAGAACGAGAACGACGACGACGGAGAGTACTTTCGTTTCGTTTACTTAACTTTACTACGTACCGTAACCCTAACTTAACTAAACTAACGAAAACGTAAAC